TTTAGTTAATCATCTTGCTTAAAGTTCATTCCGCATGATCCAGTGTTTGATTCTATTTTGTAACTGTTGCTCTGAGCCCAGTCAGAACTCGGTTCTAACCAGCTTACGCACTGTTTTCCTTATTCGTCCAACGTTGCAGACTAAGTTCAAGAAATCGGTACTGAGTGATAGTTCATCCACAGAAATGAAAGGTTTACCAACGCCGCAAGCGATCCAGAAGAAGCCTATGCAAAAGCCTGATCGAAAGGTAAAGTTTGATGCTTGTCTCTTTCTCCGAAAATGATTTCTCAAACAGAGGGTGAAGACCCTACCCCCCAGAAAAAAGGCGGTATACTCTATCGGCAGACATGCATTCGCTAACCCCAGTAGCCCATGATCATCATCCTTGGAAGAGCAAATGCACAACTCTTCTATTCCGAAAAAGTTCTTCGACTACGCTAGTCATTTTTCAGGCCATTTCGTTGGTATGGTCATGGCAATACCGTTAACATTTGTCATGATGAGATTCGTCCGCAATTGCATCAAGACTAAATGAGAGAACCACTGACACCGCTGGTCTCCAAGCGTATTAGTATCAGTTAAAGATAACCTATTAAAGTATGACGCACTTCAAGACAGCCATGTCATGCCTAGCAGTTACCTAGTGGCACTTTCGATTTATACTTCAAGCTGGGTCTTAACTCTGTAGATAACCATTCGTTGCCATTATTTCAACCAAGGATTAACTGGCCAATCAGCCGCATAATCCGATGTTGGCCGACTCTGACTGATGTGGAAGCCTTGGGTAGCAAGTAGGGATCCTATAATAGAGATTTTGTCAACATCGATTTGAATACTAATCAGGATACTTTTGGAAACATCTGTCAACTCTCGCTTACATGAACTGGCACCAACCAAATCGGCTTAGATAGTTGTTATATGGACCTGGTTATAACGGCTCTCTCGGTCTAGACGAACGAATGGACGACTAGCGGATTTTACCCACGCACAAAAAGTTGCCGACCGAAATTGTTTCTTACGCCCCGTGAGACTTAGTCAACAAACATTTTCTATGCGCGAGCTCATTTGAGTGACCATGACAAATGCGGACCCCATATGCCTCGATCCCGAAATTAGAAAAACAAGCCCTTCGTAACAAGCTCTTTTCTTGTCCCACCTATGAGTGAATACGGAGCTGCTCCACCTTACTTAAATGACGAGATCCGTGACGTACTTGATTCTGCGTGAGCTTGAGCAGGAAACCGAGGAGTAAGCAGGTGAATTAGCACATTGCGAGTGTATGCGGAACGTTTCGGAAATGTGCATGTTTGCAATTACGGAGACTGAATGAAATCTGTGTGCTGACTTGAGTACCAGTGTCTGAGCGTTAGGTGCTTTCGTTCGCGTGACATTGTGGGGACCTGTATTCCCCACAATAATGGTCACCAGTGGCTTGTAAACATTTCGCTGCCTTGGCAACGCGGAAAACAAAAGCTTATCCTCAATGCTGTCGAAATGTAAAGTAATTGCACCGTAGTTATAAACATATCGCGAGAATCCAGCCATACAGTAAAGTGGTTCGACTGACCGATGTTGATGCTGCCTTGATCCTGACACATCCCTAGAATATCTGGATTTGACATATAATAGTCCATTTCTTCATCAGTGTAGTGATTATTACCAGGGTATTTATGATTACCTGATAGGGAAGCATGCATACAAAATATAAAGGTTTTGCTGTTAATATTTCGGATAATAACGACTATAACTTTGCTGTCCTTTTGTCGCCACTACTGGTTGTCGGTCTTCTGAGGCTGAACTTGTCCCTTATTCCAAAAGACATATTTCCACTTGACAGCCAGAATATTGGAGCACACGTGCTTTATAAGTTAATGCAGTATTACCTTAATAACAGCAGAACTACCAAATGCTTGGAAGTATAAGTTGGAGATAAAGGAACTCAAGACAGAAGGCCTATCTGCAATGGCACCGAGAGTAGAGCCATAGTTGTTTCGGAATACTAGATGTTAGTCTAATCCGCGTCACCATGATTAATGAAAGATCGCGGCCGGAAGAACTGGTTACACTCATTCTCACGCGCATCAGTTTCCTTATCATTTGGTTGAACCGATCCCTTCCTTCCTACTTGCGCATCATTATGCTTAGCGGCTTGGTTACTGCAAGCGTCCCCTTAGGTTAGAAGGAGCTGATGATGTGCACTTTAGCAATAGCAGGGACAGAGTTTGTTTTGTAGAGTGTCTTTCAGTGGCCACATACGCTGCACTCGTGCAAATACCATCAAACCTGAGTTTTAAGGAGAACTCGTGATTTCGCTGCCGTCGATGTCACTTCTTCGTGAAGCTACAGTCTAGGCTGTTTAGCACAGCCAGGTCGGAAGTAAGAGCAATGATGCAGAGTAACGACCTCGAACCCAGATGACTGGTACCACGATATGAGAGGCTGCATCTAATGATTCCTTTGTAGCTCATGCTTTCACAAAGCCTCGCAGTACTTCCGATCCTGCTGAACGGCCGAGAACGTGCGCGTCCGTTTTTGCCTCCCGCAAGACAGATGCATTGTCCAGCGTACCTGTTACGGAGAGAAGGTTTACGGCCAGCTATCAATCCGAGAGCAATGGCGTAAAAGTGGATCGATCTGTAACTAGAGGTAGAACTCGAGTGGAGATCACAACACAAATCTATGCGGGATCAGCAGCGAGTGGGATCATGAACTTGAACCATTTGAGTTGTGCTAAGTATCAATAATTAGCGTCGCCAACATTGTTGTGTCAGTAATTGCCCACAACCTGTGTATTGCGCCATGCTCTCATACAATAGGACTCGCTTTTCCGGCTTGACTTTGGACTTCTTCTGGCGGTTGTGGGGCGTGAACAGTCGGCTGACGACACAACAGTACGACTGACAGCAATCAAGATAGAAACAGTTAGCGTTGTAAACACTGCCGCGAAGTCTTGGATGCAATCTATTTTTCAATCAAAGAAAGCGATCGTACACTTCACTGAAAAGCAGAAGGCTAGATAGCCTAGTGATTTTCTGACTGCTATATGCAACACTGTGCCTGAATCAAAGGAAACTCAATCAAACTCAAGCTGTTAGACGAGCGGAAACAGTGGGTTCCATGTGTCAGTTACAAAGCGGTCCAAGACAAGCCGGCCAGTATGATGCTCCTCGTCCATCATCCAAACTCGGTTCACTACAATGAACCAAAGCTATTCAAAGTAACCCTTCGGTCTGGATATGATACTGAGATCCTTCTTTTGTAAGCCACTCGTCTCTGAACTATCCGATGCACTGAGCGCATCTTTCCGGATGTCCCTTAAAGCGAACACTAGAAAAGTAACCGCAAAAGAAAAACGCAAAATCGGTCCTTGTCAGTGAACAATGATTTATAACGGGTAAAAAAGCAGGTGCTTGACATGTCCCGTAGGGTGTTTAGCGTGACAAAGAAAGATAGCGAAGGGATAATGGAGTCCTCAGTTCGGGCGCTTACAGATGTAACTGCACTGTCGTATAAAGAGAGTTTGAAATGAGAATGTACGCACACGAAGCAATAAGGGGAGTGGTTATTGATCACATAATAGGCGAGAAAAATAAAAAAGATAGCAATTACAACACTTACTCTTGTGCAACTATCTTGGGTCGACAGGATATGCAAATCCAGTTTCTATAGTAGTAGCGTTTATCAAATTTCGTGCAAGGCATTTGGAGTGACTCATTCTCGAGTAGGGTTATGGCACTATCCCCTATCTGTTGTGCATTAGTGCCAGCATCTGGTGGTCATGAGCTATAGCACATAGTGTAAATGTGACAAAGTATCGGTAAGGCGTATTTTGAAAAGGGATAGGATGGGTGCATTAATTACATGTTCGGGGAGGGCGTTCCAAGGCTGTGACACTCGAAGGGAGAAATAGTTTCGCCGACATTCCAGGCGGCTGTACTGCGTGACTAACTTAAACTGGTGACCTCTTAGCAGGGTGTTTTGACTGAGTATTAGAAGGGATTGGCAAGGGTGGTTGGCGTCTCTCAGGATTAGGTACACCATTATGAGATCGCCACTTAGCCGCCGATAACGTCCACTGTATATTTTGAGGGTCTTCAGCCTGAGTGGGTAGGGGAGGCTGGTCAAACCTCTGACGCTCCTCATTGCCCTACGTCGTACAGTATCGAGCGCCGTGAGATGGTGCTTGAGCCAGGGTTGCCACGCTTGCATAGCATATTCCGCGTGCGGCCTCACGTACGCACTACGCATTTTCGGAAAGATCGAAGGGTCTAACTTCCCGAAGGCTCTGCGAAGAAGGCCGAGGTACTGTTTCGCTTTCTTAGCTGCCTTTTCAGTCTGCCTCAAACAACCGAGGTCATCTTGAACTGTCACGCCGAGATCGCACTCGTGTGAAGCCCGCTGTAGAATTTGTGGTCCTAGGCGGTACTTGCGCGCACTCTTGTGCCGTATGCTGAGAACTTTGCACTTGGTGACGTTGAAATGCAGCATGTTTTCGATGGACCATGTGTACGCTTTGTCCAGGTCCTCCTGTAAGACTGTGTGATCCTCCACTGCAGCCATAGTGCGCCATAGGTTTAGGTCATCAGCAAATAGCAAACAGTTAGAAGATAGCACACTCGCGAGATCATTTATGAAGACCAGGAACAGCCGAGGTCCAAGTATCGAGCCTTGAGGTACGCCGCACTGAACTTCCATGGATTCCGACAGGTTGCTTCTAACCCTCACATTCAGGTGACGTTGCGTGAGAAAGTCTCCTATCCAGCCCAGAACATGATCGCCGATTCCATATTTCCGGAGTTTGTGGAGGAGAATGCGATGGTCGCTACGGTCAAATGCCTTTGAGAAATCCAAGTAGGCCGCGTCGACACCTACACCAGTGTCCACAGATTCCGTCTAGTTTGCACGAGCAATCAAGAGATTAGTTGTACAGGAGCGATTTTGGCGAAATGCCTGCTGCTCTGGAACGAGAATTTTGTTGTTCTCCAGGTACCCCATTAATGCCTCAGCTACAATGGACTCCATAACCTTGGAGATCACAGGAAGTAGTGTTATCGAGCGATAATTTGCTGGTTCAGCACGAATACCACTTTTGTAGATAGGCGTGATGATTCCGCGCTTCCACATCGTGGGCACGTGCATCTCGTTCAGACATTGTTGAAAGAAAATTGCTAGTGGTCCTGCCAAACTCATTGCAGCAACTTGCAACGCCTTGGGGCGAATGCCGTCCGCACCCGGGGAGCTGAACTC